TAAACTTATATATTTATTTCTATAGTATCTTTGCTTGTCTTCATAATTTGTACCATGTAAATACCTATGCCTCATGAGCCAGCAAACTAATATTTACACCTGCTGTTGACAAAATCTCTAAGATCAGTACTACTCTTGTCATCTCTGTGTAAATACTATGTATCATTTAAAAATATGTAGAAATGTGATATACATTTTCATCCTTACAACTGCACATTGTATGGATAGTAAACAGCTTTAATAAAAGTGACTTTTATTGGTACCTGTTACTTCTTAGACTGGGAAGGACATGAGTTAATGCAAGTGTTCACACTTATATGACTATCTGGCATGTGGCAAATGAACATACAATTTAAATGATAATGAAGAGATTTTTACTCTATAGTACTACCAATAGGAAAAGAGAATGAAAGAGATAATTTATTACAATAAGTACAAAGACTAAAAGGAAAGATAAAGAAGAAAAAAATATATTAATATAAACAATATGAATATCTGTCCAATGTCCAATTACGTTTGAACACTTTATAAAACATACTTTTGTAAGACAAGTCTCACAAATACAGATTCAAAACAATCTCTCTCAGTGTTTTACCAAACTGTGATTTACTTGTAACAGATAATGTAAAATGTACTACACTTTCCATATAGGTTCTACACATATCTAAAACATAAATACCAATTTATGAATACCTTACAGAAAAAAATCTGTAGATTGCATCAAAATATTTAGAGTGACTTTCTCCATAGACAGAGATGAAACCAGGAACTACCAAGCCACACTGCAAACTTATTATTAAACTGATCTTCTATGATGAAATGTGATTATATTTCATGACTGACTGCTTTAACAATTGTAACTATAAATTTCTTTAATAATGACTTTTCTCTATTCTCTCTTGTTATTACTTTTTAATAGAGCATAGATTTAAATGAATATATTAGTTTTAAAAAATCAAATCTATCAGTAAATCAAATTTACTCTGTCCTAATCTACAATATTTTGACCTAATTTACAAAGTCAATAATAAAATCTGTAAAGGGTGCGATTTTCTCCACCCAAAACAATTTACTAGATATGACATCAAAATGCATAAGAGAAATCCACATGAAAACTACTACACTCTATTAGTAACCAACTATCACTGGAAGGAAGGCTACAGAAAATATGCAAAGCTATAGAAAGTTTAGTATCATCACCCTACCCTTTTATTCCTGATACAGGAATTAATGGATTGCAAAGGGATGAGGCGATTCAACATATCACAAACCATTGTAAAAAGGAAAGCTTTTATCTTGTGTCCTTCTTGTACTCAATCATTACCTTCTTGTTTTTCACTCATTTCATCAACAATTTGCTGATATCCCAAGACCTCCTGGTTCCTCTCGCTTCCACGTCATTTCTATTTCCTGCTGAGAATGTGAAGGTATTTTCCACGTGTCATTTCCTTTGCCTCCTCTAAGCCAAGCTGGTAAGCCACATTTTGGAGCTTCTTCACTTCTTCAATGATTTCTAGAGCCGTCAGTAACCGGAACTCTGGTATGAAAGATGACAAAGTTACTTTTCATAATCATTCCAAGTAATACATATACACACATCACAATGCTTGTACTCTTCCTTTCTTAACATCTAATTTCTGTGTTCTCTTCTTTACTTCCAAGCCTTCAAACTAGGGCTAGACAACATACATGGAAATTCTTTGCATGATATATCACCTCACTTGTACCACTTGCAAATCATTATGCAATCACTGAATCACATTTGAGATGTAGACAACAATTATTGGGGATATTCATAACAAAATAAAAACTATTTGACACAAACTGTAATATAAAATGGATTTTCTGTATTTATATTATCAAAGGAAAGATGGTGTCATTATACTCACGAACTTTTATCAGCATAAAAACATTTCTTAAAGTAAATCAGTTCATGGGCGGAGGGAACTTTTGTGGACTTTTTATAGCTTACAATAATTCATTTTTATCCACGGCCCTAATACTTGTGTTTAATTCTTTAGATGTACAGATACTCTAACTAAGTTTTAATTATTTTCATATCTCTCTCTCAATTCTTGGTAGTATCTTCTTTACAACCTTTAGTATGGACTCTCCTGATTTATAAGAATTGGTGGTAGAACATGTAAACAAAACAAATAATTAACAAGAACTGAATTTGCCACATAGAAATTGTTCCCAACATATTTTACAGCCTCCTCCTTTTACATTACATAAATTCTTTTGTTCTCCAAAAAAAGAGATGAATTTAACAGGTCATTATAACACTTTGAAATTCTATTGTTACTACGCAAGAGTTCCTGAATATTCGCAATATATTTTGACTGCAGAATATCTCATTAGAAGAGAATTTTAGCTCCTACTGAAATTACCAAATATTATAATAGAAAAGATGTAATGAAGTTAAATACTATTATCAAGTTAACTCACTTCTTCATCCCATTTGTCATGTTAAATAAGAAAAGAAAAGAAAAGAAAAGAAGAAGAAACAAAAAACGGTATCTCTAATTCTTTATAATCATAAGAGGTAGATATCTAGTTACTTGTGTCATTTTAGTCCCTATAACCTTAATTGGCACTGCCTACTGCAAATTTTTGACCACTGATATTTCTCAATTAGTTTTCTTTGTTTTATTTTACATTTTAACAGATTTTATTCTACCTGAATGACTCTACAAGAAAAACATTTGTTCTGCTAGTCTTTAAAGATCCTAGTCGCAGTTCTTGATGCATTTACCAGTGAGATGAAGTCTATGATATATGTTCATGGTAAGGACATCTACATCATCTAGACTTTTACTCATCTTGATGAAATGATTCATACTTCAGGAAATCAACTAATGAACTTCCCTGGCAGCAGGAATCATGCCCTTTTTTGACAAGGAGTAACTGGGTCTCCTATTGCCCAAGCTACTTCCTCTAACCCGTGTCATGTCAGATATCTAAAGGCATCAACCCTTTGCAACAGGTCCTTGGTCCTGAGTGAAGGAGGCTTGTGGGATGACCTCAAGAGTCTCAAGCTACATAGAACCAGGTAGCTCCATTTCCATTTAGCCTATTGATATAAAACTGACTTTTTCCCAAGAGTATTCTAACAGCTGTTAACCCATTTGCCTCGGATTTATGTTCTGTACACTGTAGCCTTTGGTAAATTTTGTTACATATAGATGGCTCCAAATGCGCTCAGCCGGCAAGGAGTCTATCAGTAGTAGTGGGTCTACCCACTGCCACACACAAGCTACAACAGCCTGGTCCCCACCTAGGGCTGTCAAGAAGGATCTTAAATATATATATATATCAATGTATTTATATCCCCATTTATCTTTCTATAATTTCTCAGAGCCTAAGGCTTCTCCACACAAGTTTCTAAAGACAAAGATCAATGAGTGACATATTCTCTGGCTATACACTTTCAAGAAGCAACACCTGACATACATAGGATTTCATCTGCTCTGGTACATGCAGATCAGTTACCAATTCAATGACACATTTATCATACAAACTGCATGGAATTAGCAACTATTTAAAGATCTAATAATCTTCTTTTAAGTAAAAAAGCTTTATAAGTTGGAGCTAATAATTATTTGAAATACACCACAATGAAGTTCTTCTGACATGCATTCAGCCAATCCTCTCAAACATAAAGAAGAAAAAGAAGAGAACAACAACAATAATAATGAAAGACAGATTGAAAGCACTCACGGTACAACAGATTGTAGTCCTGCTCTTCAAGGTCGAGATTCTCTGGGTTTGGGCTCAGCTGGGGTGACACCAGAGGTGCAAAGTCATACACTCCTGGAACTGAAACGGTTTTCCACATTTACTACGAAAGAGAAAGATCATGGCTTGCTTTTCGAATCCTCAATCTTCAGACCACGAACAAATATAGAAAACCTTTTCTTCTTCGCAAAATAGAGAAACATATATAATTACAACATATCAGAAATACAGTACAAACTATGCTAGGAAATGCTTGTGTATTAAGATATCAAACAATAAAAATTAGTTTCTATAATGACATTTTATACTCAAGTGATAATTAACACAGAGGCATCCACATGTTCCTTACTTTGCTCTGGCCAAAGATCTGGGCTGGAACGGTCCAGTTTCTCCATGCTCAGCAAAGACGGCTCCATCTCTGCCAATTACAAAAGTTATTAGTCACGTGTGGTCATCAGTCACTCTCAATATGGCAAACAAGACACTGGATAGATATAATACATTTTCACTGTCTTAAATAATGATGAAAAGCTTTTTAATTTTAAGATGAGCAAGATATGAGGAGGACTAAGTGGTTGATGACATCCATGGGGGGAGGGGGGAATTCAGCTATCATTTATTCAATAAATGCATAGAAAATGGAAAAAAATATCTTTAATGTAGCCTTTAAAACATGATGGTTTTGAAAACCTAAATGCAAGCAAATAGCCATTTCAATATTACATCAGAAAATACCATCAAAAATGTTGATATGGATCACAGTCTATTTAAACATGAGGGTAAATAAATAATATAATCTTTGTAAGCAATCATACTTTAATACCATATTTAAAATTCAAATTCTACAGCCTGTATATTAAAAAAAAAAAAGTAATGACAATGTTAATTACCCAATCAATAAATTAACTGTTAATCTAAGAACTACTACAGAGCAACTTCTCTTGCTAGAATTGAAAAAGCACTTTCTTATTTCCTAATTTGTAGTTTCCCTGCACTTTGCTTAAAAACATGAAATGTCAATAGTATTAGATCAATAAATAAATAGTTCATGGAAAAACACAATTTAAGGTTATACAACAGACAGATTTGTTTGACATCAAATTATTTTACAATATATAGTCTAATATCTAAAAATCACTTCCTTATTTATAACAACAACAACAAAAAAAGAGGAAAAAATATACTGAATAAAAATTAACAAGTACAACTTTCACCTCATATACAATATGGATATCTAACCCATTGGCAACAGGTGATGGTGA